AGGGAAAGCCACTCCCTCTGGAAGGCACCCATCCACATCACATGCTGTGTCCAGAAGCATAATCCTCTTCAGTGGTTATCAGAGGCAAACTCTTGTAATCAGAACTTTGATCCATAGGTAAACAAATAGGAGTTTTCAGGTACAAATACAAGCCCAAAATTAAAAATCACCAAGCATTTAAGGAAAATTAATGTCAAGAAAAGCACAAATCTCAATAAAGAGTAAACCTCATGCAAGCATTTCCCAAGCAAACATGTTAATCCTTAGAAATGAGAATGTTATATCCATAAAACAAGAACAGGTTGTTGGGTAAAAGAGTCAAGCGATGAAAAGTGTGAAGAAAAGAGACATTTAGAATCTGAGAAGAAGGGAATAGTGGCATATAATAAATAAATAATTAGAACATAATAGAAGAAATTTTTCCAATCTAAAGAAAGATACAAGAAAATGAAACCATAACTAGATTCATTTCCCAAAACTTTAAACCCCCAAGAATAAAAAGAATAAACCTTCAAAGAAATTTTAAAAAGTACAAAAAGTCACCTACAAATGAAAATGAATTATATGAGCTCCAGCAACACAGGAGGCTGGAGGAAAATGAGCAGTATCATCAGGTTCTAAGAAAAAATCATTTGGAACCCAAAGTCTTGGTCAAATTAGTTCAAAGGAACTTTGAGGCATACAAAACCTTAAAGTTCATCACACTTAGATTTACTCTGTGAATTTCTTAAATCAGTCATGGGCTAAAACCTCCAGATGTAAGCCAAAACAACCTTTTTCTCTTGATGAGTTAATTTGTCTCAGGTATTTGTTGTGGTAATGGAAAGCTAACACACATTACAGCCCAGGAAGACCAAGCAACCCAAGAAGTAGGAGGACAGGTGTCCAGTGGGCGGCGGTGAGCCACGCAGCCCATCATTCCCAGGTAAGTCACGTCTCCGTGTGGCTGAAGTGAGCGATGGAGAACTAAGGCCCAGGTTAACTCGAGGGTGAGAGAGTGAGTAGGGAGAAAACAGACCAAGAGCGGACTCACCACTTTGGAACAGAGAATAGAATTAATTTGGGGTATTATTAGTTACATTAAGTATTAAAAATACTTCAAGTAGTAACAGAGACACGTCTGTCAGATTAACCACCCAGCCTAAGATGGTTACAAACTCAGGACAGAAAAAGAATTTTTTGGGGGGTGGAGGGGGGCCGGCACTGGAGATTTAGTCCAGGAGTGCTCTCCCACTGAGCTACGTCCCAGCCCTTTGGGGACAGTCTCACTAAGTTGCCCAGACTGTCGTTGAACTTGTGACCCTCTTGCCTGGACTCCTGAGTGGCTGGCACTACAGACGGTGCACCACTACACCTGACGAGGACAAAAGGTCTTTAAAAACCACAACAGCTCCCTGAAGGTTCTGGAAAGCAACCAGTGCCCTTCAGAGAAAGAAAATAAATGAGGGGGACCTGCAGGTGGTCAGCCTGTCCCCAGAGCGCTCAAGCAGAAAGTGGCCGTGTCCTGGGCTGACTGGGTAGAGCTGGGTTTCAGACTGCCAGGGCTGGGATCTGGGGTGGGGGTGGGAAGAGACAACTGGAAGGAACCAGAGGACGTGGGCAGCTTTCAGCAGCCAGCCAGCGGGGGAAGCCCAGCTGGGAGCTCAGCCCTGCCACGCCAGAGGAGCTCAGCAGATGCCCTGGGCTTCTGTGGAAACCCCATTGAGAGCCTCATCCCGAACTAAGAGCAAACCAGAAAAAATCGGCCCCGATACGAGCCTGGCACTGGGTCAAAACCACCCCAGGTCAGGTCACCTGTCAGTAATTCACTCCTGTTAGAGCAAGATCCGTCACTTGTCAGCAGAGGACAGGGGCTGCTGGCTGCGGTGCAGCACCCAAGACATTCAGGATGTCATCGCGGCTCACAGGGCGCACACAAAAGCAGGACTCATCCCACCAGGAGAAAGGGTAGCCAGGAGAAGCCCACCCCAGACAACCCAGACACCGGAAGTGCAGAGACTCTTAAGTGGTTTCCATAAACATGAGGAGGGTTTTACAAGAAAAGAAGATAGAGTGGGGGAGACACGGGCAGCCCAGGGCGGCGCAGTTTCAGGAGTCAAACTCTAACCAAGAGCCAAATGAGAAGCTCAGCACTGAAAACAGCGATATCTGAAAAAGATTTTGTTTCATGGGGTTGATAGCAGATTGGACACTGCCAAAGAAAGCATCCTTGGGTGTGAAGACAAAGCGTAACAGCACAAAGAGAAAAAGATCAGAAGATTGTCTCAGGACAGCAGAAAATGAATGTGTAACTTATAAACCACTTGAGAAAAACAGTGAATTTAAAAAAATAATTATCAACCTGGCAGATGGCAAAGAAGAGGGGAAATTTAGCATAAAAAGAAAACATGGTAAAAATCAAATATAAAGTATAACTCAAAACACATCAGTAGGGCTGGGGCTGGGCTCAGAGGTAGAGCACTCGCCTGGCATGCGTGAGGCACTGGGTTCAGTCCTCAGCACACATAAAAATAAAATGAAGATATTGTGTCCACCTAAAACTAAAATAAATTTTAAAGATATATATCAATAATGATGAAAAGGGAAAGAATTAAATTCCCATTTAGAAAGATTGAGATTTTCAGATTAACAACAAATATCTATATTATTTAGAAAAGACACATGAAAAAAAAGAAAATCATATTGGTTGGGACTAGTTTTGAGTACAAATTACAGAAGCAACAGCTAACAGTACCTTAATTGAGTGCATTTATTTTTCTTGTATCAGAAGTCTGGGAGGAAGTGGCTGCTGGTGTTGGTCCAACAGCTAGGGACAGTACCTCAGCAGTTCTCCTGGCTTTTTCTTCATGACCACAGAATGGCTGCCAAGGCTCAAGACATTACATCCATGTGGAAGGTAGGAAGGGGAAGAAGCAAAGCTGGTCACATTTCCCCTTTTTGAGGGAAAGCAAAAGCTGCCCAGAGTCTCCATGATTATTTTTGTTCCAGTAATCAAAACTGTGTCAATGCTAAAAGAGGATGGTCATCTTGGAGTAAAAGTAGACAAGGGAAGGCATTAGAAATGAGTGTTCCATAGCCAGTGAAGAGGCCTCCTGGTGGAGAGCAGAGGATGGACAGTCGCGCGAGGAGATGGCCAGCCAGCGAGAGCAGAGCAGCGGCAGTGGGATGCCGCGTGGCAGTTGGGTGCTAGATAAACTCAGCAGGATGCAACGCCCATTTCCAGCTCCTTTCATCAAGGCTGCAAAATAAAACCTATTTCCCAGGCTCTTCTGCAGCCAGGCCTGTGGGTGTGGGGTGGGGCTGCCATCTGCATGCCCCTGCGTGGGGTCTGGTGAGTGGAGCCAGAGGAGGTGCCTTCAGCTGCCATCCAAGATCCTGAGGACATGCGTAAGGGACTGTGGCTTGGCAGTGGCCAGACCCAACTTATAGCCCCAGCAGCAGCCCCGTGGGGAGACCTGCCAGGATGGCAGCACTGCAGCAGCAGCAGGGGCCTCCTGAGACTGGCTACCGACGCCGGGCTCAGAGCCCTGGACGGTCATCAGGCATCCCAGGGAGACCTCCTGACCCGCCTTCCAGGGCTCCAGGGGTTCTATAAGCACCCAGTTCCCTGTATCTAACCCCTCTCTGCTGAACTTGCACAGGGCGGTCCCGGTTTCCTGCATGGAACTGGCGCTGACACAGCCCAGCCACACACAGGTGCTCATATGGGCACAGGAATGCCGGGGCCTTGGGAGACTTTCAGAAGCGATGCAGGCCCTCTGGAAGATCGGCTCCAGTGCAAACCTCAGAGGAGCCCTGCCAGGTGAAAAATAAAGGAAATGAACATTTCCCAAGAAAAAACCCAAATCCATAGGAAACAGTGTCCTAAATAAGATCAACCGGAGCCAGAGACAGCCCACAGAGCTGCGAAGCCCCCAGAGTTTAGACATCAGACACAGAACACAGAATCAGAGTTCTCATGTAATGAAATGAATGTGTACACAGGGAGGCACATTTGGACAATAAAATAACAATAAACAATTATATATGCTCTCAGAAATAATATAACATATCGAGTATAATACTGGTAACATACCAACGGGTGCACGTTCACCAGACAGGACGCGGCGAACCCGTCATGAACGACATGCAGCAGAAACGGGGCATGGGTGTGGGGAGCGGTCGGGGAAGGTGGAGAGCACCTTGGGGACAGGGAGCCAGGGTTCCAGGAGGGGGAGGAGAGCACAGAGAGGAACAGGTAGAGGGGCCATGGATGGGGGTTCCCTCCAAGGGTTAAAACACACCAAGGCTCAGTCCTGAAGCCCCAGTAAACGTCCACAAATTGCCAGGATGGAAGGGAAAGGCGATGCGTGCATCGAGGTTCAGGTTCACAGTCAGACTGCAGACACCAAAGGGGAAGCAGCAGACAGAGGAGGGGACCGCACCTTCACCCCCAGCTGTGACCACGGGGACAGAAGAAAGATGACAGTCCCATGAAAACACGTGTCAGGCCAGATGTCTCAGGAATTCAGTTCAGTGCTATTCACAAGGAATGCCTCCAAACCCAAGGCCGGAGAAGCTGGAAGCAAAGAAGGGAATAAAGAGTAGCAGCCAAGGGGCTCCCAGACCTCAGCAACACAGACATGGAAGCCGAAGTCACTTCCGGGTGAAACCAAGAGAATACACAATGGGAGCACAAATCCAGGGCTAGAGGTGTAGCTCAGTGAATAGCACTCGCCCTGTCTCCACACTGGAAGAAAAAAAAAAGCAAAACTTATATTCACCAAGAAGACATATGATTCTAAACTTGCAGGCATAAATCTCATAGATATTTATAGATCTAGGAGAAGGAACTGGCAGATTCACCACTACCAGGGAAGGTTAACACACTTCTCTTAGGGATTGACAGATTGCCTACAAGAAATGAGGCTAGAAATTAGGGAAGGCTTGACCAGCAGAATCAACGAGACTGATTTAATGAATACACAAACATTGCACCAAGCAATTAAAGAACACACATCTCTTGTTTAAGAACTTTTTATTGAACTGTAACACACAAATATAAAACAAATAACAATTAATTTTCACAAAACCAGCATACTGCAACCCAGAAATGGGGGAAGGAGCCTTGCGGTTCCCCAGATCCCCTTCCTTGAACTCCACTCTATCAACCTTCATGCTGAAGGCCACTGCTATCTTGCCTTCTAATGCTGTAGGTAGGTTAATTTTGCTTGTTTTTAAACTTTACAGAAACGGATCCCTAGAGCATCATTCTTTTGTATCTGGTTTCTTTAATTCAGTGTTTTGTTTTCAAGATTTCTACATGTAGAAATCCTTTTCTTCCTCATTCTATTATGTGAACAAATGTCAAATTTTCATCCACTCCTCTGTTAGACTTTTCCTCTCCATGGCTAGTACATGTAGTCTCTTGGTGACCATGGGTACATATTCCTATTGGGTTTGTTTTGCTTGTGTTTAGTTTTTGCAGATAATGCCCAAAAGTTTTCCAAAGTGGAGATTTGTCCTCCCATCAGCCATGTCTGAGGGTCCAGTTGCTCCTTTCCTTGGTGCTTGGTTTTATTTGCCTTCTTCATCTTAGCCATTCTGGTAGGAGTGAGAAAACCATTCTTCCTAGTCCCACATGGAACATTTGCAAAAACTGACCAACTGCTAAGGTTCAATCAGTTCTGAAGTTCTGGTATCACACAGACCCGGCTCTGCCACAGTGCAGTCAAGTTAGAAACCAGTATCCACAAGAAAACTAGATGAATCGAAAAACCGTACACTCGAAAACAATCTGAATGCTAGCACAAATTGACAGCAACATAAAGAATAAAAGAATGACCTTGAGTGTTTATATCAGAAAAGAAGAAAATCTCAAAATTAAGGAGTCAAGCATTCAACTGAAGAAATTAGTAAAAGTCCAGAAAGGAAAGAATAAGAGTAGAAATTTCCAGAAAAAGAGAAAACATTAAAAAGAGAGGATTATCAAAGCCAGAAGTTGATTGTTTGAAAAGACCCATGAAAGAGACAATTCTTTTGCTGATCAATCAAGAAAAATCAAAGGACAAAACAAATATAAATAAAAATGAAAAGGGCAACAAAAGTACAGATGTTGCCAAGATTTAAAACATCCTAAGAAAGAGATTATACACAAGTCTGTGGCCATAAATTTGAAAACTTAAAGTAGTTAGATAAAAATCCTAGAAAGAATAAGAGACAAGGAACTGAATAATCCCATTACCTGGAGAGAATTTGGTGGGACCTCATCAAGTCAAGCAGAGTTACCACGTGATCCAGCAATTCTACTCTGAGGCAGATACAGAAAATAATCAAGAGCAGGCACCCAAATGACTGCTTAGGAATATTTGTAGTGGCAGCATTCATGAGAACCAGCAGGGGAAACAACCCAAATGTCCATCAATGGAAAAATGGATGAAGAAAATGTCGTACATACATACAGTGAACATTCAGCCTTAAAAAGGAATGGAATTCTGAACGTGCTACACTGAGAAATCTTTTTTGGTGGGGGAGTGGGATACCAGGGACTAAATTCAGAAGTGCTTAAGCACTGAGCCACATCCCCAGCCCCCTCATTTTTAAAAATATTTTACTAGTTGTTGATGGACCTTTATTTATTTATATGTGGTGCTGAGAATCGAACCTAGTGTCTCACACAAGATAGGCAAGTGCTCTACCACGGAGCCACAACCCCACCTCCCCCACCCTTTTTATATTTTGAGACAGGCTCTTGCTAAGTTGTTGAGGCCGGCTTTGAACTTGGGATCTACCTGCCTCAGGCTCCCAAGCTGCTGGGATTACACTGTGCCTGGCCTGTTGATGAATCCTGAAATGTGATAAAGTGAAAGAAGCCAGACATAAAAGGCCAGGTTGGAGGATTCCACTTATATGAAATATACGGAATCACTACATCCAGAGAGAGAGAATACAGAGTAAGAGGTCCCCATGGCTGGGGAGAGAGTGAGGGTGACTACAGATGGGCAGATGGTCTCCTTGGGCGTGATGAAGATGTTGCAGAGCTGGGTGGGGGTGTTGGCTGCTCATCACTGTGAATTGACTTAGGCACTGAATCACGTGCTTTGAAACAGCTCATTTTATGTTATATGAATTTCAGCTCAATTAAAAAAAAGTCTCATCATAGAAAACACCAAACCAGGCAGACTTTTAGAGGCAAATTCCATCAAACAGCAAATAACAAGATAACCCCAACTCTTCACAATTTTACTACAGTAAAGAAGGATTTTCCCCAGCTCAAGATATGACTTTAGCATTAACCTTGATACCAAAATTGTTCAAGGACAATATAAAGGAAAATTCCAGCTCAACCTTATGTACGAGATGCAAAACCCCCAAACAAATACTTAACAAACAGAATCTGGTAATACATAAAAAAGACAAAACATGACCAAGTTGGGCTTATCTCAGGAATGCAAAAGTGGTTCCTTAGAAAACCTACAAATATAGGGCTGAGGGTGTGGCTCAACAGTATGTGCTTAGCACGTGTGAGGCGGAAGGAAGGGAGGGAGGGAGGGAGGGAAGAAGGGAGGGAGGAGAAGGAAGGGAGGGAGGGAGGAAAGAAGGGAGGGAGGGAGGGAGGGAGGGAGGAAGGAAAGAAGGAAGGAAGGAGAAGGAAGGAAGGAAGGAAGGAGAAGGAAGGAAGGAAGGAGAAGGAAGGAAGGGAGAAGGAAGGGAGGGAGGGAGGGAGGGAGGGAGGGAGGGAGGAAGGGAGGAGAAGGAAGGAAGGAAGGAGGGAGAAGGAAGGAAAAAGAAGGAAGGGAGGGAGAAGGAAGGGAGGGAGGGAGGGAGGGAGGGAGGAGAAGGAAGGGAGGGAGGGACGAAGGAAGGAAGGAGAAGGAAGGAAGGGAGGGAGGAAAGAAGGGAGGGAGGGAGGGAGGGAGGAAGGAAGGGAGGGAGGGAGGGAGGGAGGAAGGAAAGAAGGAAGGAAGGAGAAGGAAGGAAGGAAGGAAGGAGAAGGAAGGAAGGAAGGAGAAGGAAGGAAAAAGAAGGAAGGAAGGGAGAAGGAAGGGAGGGAGGGAGGGAGGGAGGGAGGAAGGGAGGAGAAGGAAGGAAGGAAGGAGGGAGAAGGAAGGAAAAAGAAGGAAGGGAGGGAGAAGGAAGGGAGGGAGGGAGGGAGGGAGGGAGGAAGGGAGGAGAAGGAAGAAGGAAGGAAAGAGAAGGAAGGAAGGGAGGGAGGGAGGAGAAGGAAGAAAGGAAGGAAGGAAAAGGAAGGAAGGAAGGAAGGAAGGAAGGAAAAGGAAGGAAGGAAGGAAGGAGGGAGGGAAGGGAGGGAGGGAGGGAGGGAGGGAGGGAGGGAAGCAGGCAGGCAGGACGGCCATACGATTTCAACTGACATGAGAAAGCATTCAATAAACTCCAACCTCTATTCAGCATAAAAACTCTTTGAAGAAAACATGGGATTGCACGTCTTTCTTCTTTTGGTGTCGAGCATTGAACCCAGGTCTACCACTGAGCTCTGCCCCACGCAGAAGTGGATTTTCTTAACCTAAAATGTATTACAGTCTGCAAACTAATGCTCCCTCCCCAAAGATGTCCCCTTCCGACCCCCAGAACCTGTGACAGTTAGCAGGCACAGCAGAGGAACTGCAAATATGGTCATGGAGAGGAACCCCGAGGGGGGACATCCTGGGTTATCCAGGAGGCCAAGTTCAATCACATAAATCCTAGAGGTGGATTCCTCTCGTGGCTGCAGTCAGGGAGTAAACGTGACCAGAGAAAAATGATCAGATTTCAAGGGGGTCCCAGCATACCAACCCCAAATATGCCACGTTGCACAGATTATTTGCAGCTGAAGTTACCTCAGGATTGGAGAAAAGACCTCTGGCCCTACCCTTTTCTTTTTTCCCTACAGCAGAGCATCAATTCTGTGTGGTGACCTAAATTTCCCTAGAAAGTGTCCCTTCTGCACCAGGAAGAAGAAAGTAAATCACCGCTGGAAACGTACCCAGATGAGTCTCCTCAGACGGATCCTCATCTTCCGTGACTTTCTGTCATTTATTTGCCTTCCAGTCACTGTTACACAGACCGTGTGGACCTGATGTGGTCAGTTGTCTAGGGCACGCCATTTCCAAAATCCAGTTTGCAAAGCAAGGTATACAACAGCGCATATCCTCTATTTATTTAAGAGTAACTTATGAAGTTATAATGTACCATCTGTGTATGTAAAAATATAATTTGTGTGGCTTTGTCCCATTAGATGTTTGTAAATTCATGGAAATTAAACTGGAAGATGGACCCCAAAGAGGACTTCCCTAGAATAGGAAGAGGGACAGAGGAGGAGGGGCAGGACAGAGATCTTTCAAGTCTTGCTTTATATGTCCATGTATTGTTTGAGTCTTTTCCAAGGAGCAGGTATTGACGTATTTGTTGTATAATTAAATTTTTAAAAAGTGTTTTTAAGACCCAGGTGGCACCGAGCTGATGCCTCACGGACTAATGACATAGTATTATCCACCATCCGGAGATAATTGGCTCTGTCGTAAGCGTGCTGAGTGGTCATCGTTCCCGGATAAGGACGTGCAAGCATAACCAAGTATTAGAAAAGAGGGTGACCTCATTCCTGCCTGTGAACTTGTATGTTGTATTCCTGCATTGATTTGCTCTGAAGGCTGAGACGCAGGGCCCACCTGAGGCAGGACGGCCGTTTCCCCATCACCATCCTTTCCCTGCCTCTGTCTGAGAGTCACCCAATGAGGCTTCCTCCAGGTCGTCCCACGCCCTGGGGCTGGTAACCCAGCGATGGTGTGGAGGGCCCTCTGCATTTGGCAAGGCTGACCACACAGTCGGGCTCCAGGCAGGCTGGCTGGAGGCCTCCGCCCTGCAGGAGGAGAGGCCGAGGACAGACCTGAGGACAGGAACACAGGACTGAAGCCCACGGACCACCTGGGTTGAGGACCAAAGGGCAACTTTCTCTTCTGTAAACTTTGTGACATATTATTCTCCTTTGGAAAGGAGAGCCCTGAGCTAAGCACACGTCCTTTTCTTGGCTTTAAAGAAAAGCACTCAGCAAAGACCTGTGTAATGAGGCATGGGCTCCATCCCCACTGCGCCGACAACGCTGCCCTCAGGTTTGACGTCACCAGCCCAAGGTCTGTGTCTGGACAGCTCCTCTAATACCAGTTTTGTCTCTTCTTCTTTCTGCATTTGGTACCAGGGATTGAACACAGGGCGCTTAACCACTGAGCCACATCCCAGCCCTTTTGAGTTTTTGAGAAAAGCCTTGCTAAGTTGCTGAGGCTGGCTCTGAATCTGTGGTCCTCCCACTTCAGCCTCCTGAGCCATTGGGAATACAGGCATGTGCGCCACACTCTGATTCTTTAAAGACAATGAACTTTCCATTCTAATGTTACTTTTAATTCTTTTGTTGTGCTGAGGGTGGAACTGGGGCCTTGTACACGCTAAGCGGACACAACTGCTGAGCTTCAACCCCAGCCCCTGTTATTTTGTTTTTTTAAATATTCTGTTAGTTGTAGTTGAACACAATACCTTTATTTTATTTATTTGTTTTTATGTGGTGCTGAGGATCGAACCCAGTGCCCCACACGTGTGAGGCAAGCGCTCCACCACTGAGCCACAACCCCAGCCCCCGCCCCTGTTATTTTGAAGTCAAATAAAAACCTCTAGGAACAGGCTGAATTAAAGAACAAAATACATTCATAAAAAAGAAAGTGCAGAATTGAAAAAGCAAGATAAAGCAGTTCTATGGGCAGTGGAGTGGCGGAGGTCTGGCAGGCACAGCCCTGCAGAGATCTCATCTATCTGGGCATTGCAGCTGGCCCAGGATTTGTTGGGGGACCCAAATGAGCCCCTGTAGGCCGCAGGATGTGCAGATGGTGATGATGGTGACAGCCACGGTGTGTTCAGACCCCTCCTGCTATACCCTTGGTGAGCACAAAGGCCGGGCATTCTCTTAAACTTCCAGATGATTCTGCAGAATGAGCTGCAGACATCAATGTTCTCATTCCTCAGGGAACCAACAACCTGGAAGGTGGAGCTGGCAAGCAGACTCCGAGATGATATAGTCGGCTGCACACTTAATGCTTCACAGTTTAAGAGACGTGCTCCCCCTTTACTATGGCCTTTGATTCTCATGGCAATCCTAAGGCAAAGGACAGGCAAGCTCCTGACCTCTAAAGACTTTTGACAACGCATGACACCAGTGACTGCAGGCAGCACACAGACCTCCACATCCAGCTGAGGAAGGGCTCCCAGATTCCCCCTAAGGCCCCGTCAGATGGGCCTTCTCTAACCATCAGAAAACCGGGAGAGTGGACAGCAGCAGTGGAGCGATCATGTGATCCCTTTTGTATAAGAAAATACACAAGATGCAAACCTGCCCCTTTAGGTGCCAGGTACCAGCAACTCAATAAGCACTGGCCCCTCCCCAGTGACACCAGTGAGCAACTGGAACACAGCTCCCTTCAGAAGGGCAGGCTGGTCACCAGGTCCCTTGGGGACACTCTGACCAGGACCTCTGGATTTGGTAATGGAAGCCACAGCCCCGAGTAGGCTGGAGGCCTGAGCTGTTTGTGCTGCCAGAATCTTCTCGTTCCCATCAGGGGAGCTGAGCTTTGGGCCTGGTCCTCCAGACCAGGATTCCTCGTAACTCTCCAAGCCACCCTGGGCAAGGCCCTGGAGCCGCAGTTACTTCTCTAAAGTGAAGGAACTTTTACTGAAAAAGTGAAAAATAGAAAGAATAAATAAGAACTCTTGACTCTGGGTGACCCCAGTCTTAGGAGGAGGCAGACAAGCCAACTGGCCACCACCCTAAGTCTCAACTCCAGGTCCCCTCTTGGTGTAGACAGCCCCCCCTCCCCCACCGCTGGAAGGAGACAGCAAGTTTGTGTAGCCCAGGAAGGAGGCAGGCAGACGGAGCTGGAGACTTTTCACTATTATCAACACACCCAAGCAAGTATTCAAGAAGGGCCAGGTGAGACCTCCTGGAGCCCCCCTCCCAACAGTCGGGGAAAACCAGTGCTCCAGATGCCCAGATGAAGCTCTTTCTCTCCGAGCCTCTCCCACCGTGGGTACACTCTCCCTGCTGCCCACAGGGCACACACTCCCCCGCAGGATCTCCCTTCCTGTGGAGACCTCTCAAGTTCTGGAGGCAGAACCCCCCCCCCCCCCCACTTGGCAGCACCTGCGAATGATCACTGTTAACAGTGAACCATCTTCAGATCAGCAATTTGTGATTGGTAGAGTAAGAGTTTCCCTTTCTCTATGGAAAACAGTGCCACACCTGTGACCCCAGCGACTTGGGAGGCTCAGGCAAGACAAGCACAAGTTCAAGGTCAAGGTCAGCCTTAACAACTTATCAAGATCCTGTTTCAAAATAAAACATAAAAATGGCTGGGATGTGGCTCAGTGGTCAGTGAAAAGAACAGGTATTTTACAAACATCTGCAACTCATCTGTTATGAATCACCCCACCCCTTCCCTCAGCAGCTCTTTATCAGCTCAGGAGCAGTCTGCACTTGGCCTTGGACCCAAGTCAGAAATGTGGGA